CATGATGTCATTCCGCAAACACGGAGGACTCATCAACCTCTGCCATATACAAGATGTAATCTGTACTTGCTTTTGTTCCGACCATTTAAAAAGTGAGAGAAACTTTGCATTCGGGTGTGTTTTAATTTTTGTTCCGACCATTGAAAATGGGGTTGAACTTTGTATTCAGGTGTGTTTCACTTTTTTGTTTTCCCCGCAAAATCGGGCACCACAAATAATCGTCGTAAGGGTCGAGTGATTTATTGAGAAGCCCTTTCAATTGTGATTCCAACGACATCAAAAAAATTTGACATTTTTCCCACAGTGTTGAGAAAAACGGGTTGAAAATTTTTGGTCTAATTTCGAGCTAATAAGGTGACCATTTACGATTATAATAGCTTATTTAAGCCTTGAAAACTTAGTTATACTCAAGTAAAGGTAGTTTTTTAGCGCAAACTTGGGAATAAAAAAACTCGAAAATTCAAAAAAATTTCTGTGAAAACTTTTGAAAAAATGTTTGAAATTTTTTCAAAATTAAAAAAAAAACATTTTTTTTTCGTTTTTTGAGTCATTTTTTTTCGGAAATTGTTTTCCAAATGAGTTTTTTGTATCACTCTCAAGTATGCCTAGGTTTTTTGTTTTTTCGTTTTATCACAACATGCAACAGATTTTTCTATCACAACATGCATCAATTTGAAAGAAAAAATCTTTGTTTTTGTATTTTTCAAGACTGTGGTCGGAACATTTTGTGCTATTTGCACAGTAACCGGCTATGTTTGTTTTTATATTTTTTGTTCACCACGCAAAATCAATTACCGCAAATAATTATCGGAATGGGTCGAGTGATATACCATATCAAAGCCCTTCCAGTCGTGACTCGAACAATATTATGAAATTTTGGTTTGAATATTTTGAGATTGAGTCCTATTTCGAGGTAGAACGCAATCGGGTGACACTCGTTATATAAAACTTTGTTTTTTAAAACAATTTTAGGCTAAAAATCTATGAGTTCATTATCAATAAAACTAGATTTAAGGTTTCGTTTAGCGCTTAATTGGAAAAAAAAACCATTAAAAAACCTCAAATTCCCCGCAAAAGATTATACAAAAGTTTTAAATTAAAAAAAAAATTGTTATTCTTTTGGGACGCCAACCATTTTTTATTTGCAACCAGGTATTTTGTTTGATTATTCATGTTTTATCATTCAACAGGCTATCTTTTTGCTACCATGGTTAAACTGTGTTCATTTGCAAAAAAATCAATTTTAAAAAAATAAATAGTCATTTCGGGTTTTTTGATACTTTTTACTATAAGTTTTTAAATTTTCATTCCAGATTTCTTATCTGTTCTTTAAAAAATGGCCTTTTGAACAGTGTTATAGAAAAACGTTTTAGAAAAAAATCTCGTTAATTCGTTAAATGACTGACGTAAACAACTGAAAAATATCCGCAAGAAAGATGTGTTTGATAAAATGGCTAACAGAATTGAGTAGGGGAATTTTGGCAAGTCTCCATCTGATAACAAAACTTAGCTGCGACACAAATTTTTATCATTACAATGATACAAAAATCAAAAAGTGTAGTTCATTGCTCGGCAAGTAGCATGAAATGTTCCGACTACAGTTATTCTCGCAAAAAATAGCAAACATTTATTTGAAGTTTTTAAAAAAAAAAATCTGTTCATGACATGATTTTGTCTCACATTAATTGTGACAAAATGCGGTAAAGCTTGTGATAATGGCATGATTTGTTGTGAACTAATTATTAATAAATTTGACTTCTAACAACTTCGATTTGGTCTGTTAACAACTTCGCTTGGCATTAGTTCTATTACTACATTTGAACAGTTTGCTGCCAACCACTTCAACGCCCACCATAGGACTTTCTCGCAATCACACGATCAACAACGCAACAGACTTTTCGGCAATGAACAAAGACAAGTCAGCAACCACGTTACCAATCATCCGGCCAAAGGCATCGACTACAGTATGAAAGGATTCAAGTTAAGAGATATAAAACTAAACAAATTTAATGGCAACCCACTGGACTGGAACAACTGGTTCGAACTCCTTCAGACTGCAATAGGCAACTTTCCACGTCTAAGCTCGGTTGAGAAAAATATTTACTTGCAGTCATTATGAACTGATAATGCTAAGCCCCTGGCAATGAACAGGCAATACTTGAATTAGTGCGTAGATACGGGAACTCAAAATATGTGGTGTCAGCGTTCATCAGACAAATTGATACTAGGCGAACCACAGGGCTTTATAAGATACGCTGCTTTCCTACGGAAACTAATCCACAACTTCGAACTCAACGGCTGCACCGTTTATCTAAATTTTAGTAGCCTGGCCCGATTTGATCGCTCAAAGCTCCCAGTATGTCTGCAAATAAAGTGAGAAGAACACTGCGCGCTGCACGACCTCGATTACGCTACACTCAAGGACTTAACGCAGTACCTGAATGATTGATCGCGGACATGCGAGAGCCTGGACATAGAACCAACAACTTCAAAACAATCAGGACGAAATCGCATACCTATGAATCAGCAACAATCCGACAGCAGAGCCAACCAATTTATTTTTTTCCAGGCATAACTACGGCAGTTTTTAAGATGTATTGACAAGACCAACAACTCTAACATGTCCAATAGATAACCAAGCCCACTATATTGAAAAATATCCGGACTTTTTAAAACTTCCCGTACGGGCAGAGCTGGCGAAACAACAAAAGTGTGCTTCAGCTGCTTAGGCCAACACAGATATAGTGACTGCACCTCGACTAAGTGATGTTTCATCAACAACTGCGGAGGGAAACTTGATTCAATTCTACACATCGACAAAAAGCCGTTTCAAACGCACAACCAAAAAATCAGAAAACATGCAGTTTGGCACTACAGTAATCAAGTCCTCGAAACAAGCTAAGGATCCAATCGAAAATATGAGCAACATCAGGAATCAGTTAAAATTTATGCCTGTAACACTTTTTAACAATGCCATCAAACTAGATTGCTACGCGATACTCGACAACTGCAACAGCTGCTCTTATATCCTCAACAAAACAGCTGAAAGTTTTCAGTGTAAACCAAGCCAACAACTAAAGCTTAGCGTACGAGGTGCTTTCAGTGAGGACAAAGTGTCTTCTTCTCTGCTCCTGCTAACTATCGGACCAAATAGCGCTACTAAGCCCACTTTCACTCTACAGTCAATTTATTCAGTTGAAACTCTGAGTTTTGACGCCATCGACGCAAACAACCTTTAAAGAAGATGCTCACTCTGCAATCACCTTCGACATATCAACTTTCGACATATCTTTTCTGATATAGGCGACAACACAGTGCAAATTTTGCTTGGCTTAGATTCTTTCTGGAATATTGCAGAGCGCGATATCAGGAAAGGTCCTACAGGCATCCCCTACGCTGTCAAAAATCTACAAAATTTTAGTAGGTTGGACGATCACTGGCCTAACCAATCGGAAATTTAATAGTTCCGGATCAAGTTCACCTTATAATAACTTCATTGACTTAAATGATTGAGAAGACGCTACTCTTCCTGAAATAGTGGAAAAGTTCTGGAAGGTGGAAAGATCAGGCATCTACGAAAATAACAAAGCTACATACTCTGATAAAAGCAAACGACAACTAAGATTATGGAACGAGGCATTGAGCACAATGGAGATCGCTACAAAGAAATCTACTTTGGTAAAACGAAGTGAAATTGCCAAACAATTATCCGGTAGCTAAAGCTCAACTGTAATTACTTCAAAAAAGGCTAGGAAAGGACCCTGAAACCATGCAATTTTATGAGAAATTGTTACTACTGACGTGGAAAATAACTTCATCAAGCCCGTCAGTTTCCAATACCCACAGCCGGAATTACTTTGGTACCTCCCACATCACCCTGTAAAAAACTCAAACAAGCTTGGGAGGAACGCAGAGTGGCCAACGCTGTCTCAACGTACAAAGGCGTCCCGTTGAACTCTTGTCTTGAAATTGGACCCGATCTCCTGAACAATATGTCTGGTTTCTACTACGACTCCGGAAAAACTTGTGGGCTATCGGCGGATATTGAAGGCATGTTTATGCAAATAGGTATTAAAGATGAAGATCAAAATGCGCTTCGCTTCCTTTGGCCTACTACAAATGGTATCAAACAAAACCAATACACGTGATTAATCTTTGGTGCAAAAGGCTTACCATCCATTGCCATCTTTGGGCTTTATCAAACAGCTGCCGATTACTGCGTAACCAAGCCCAATACTGCTCAACTGTTTCATAAAAGTTTTTACACGGAGGATTTTGTTCACTCGTTCAACACGACACAGGAGGCTACAGATTCTGCTACGCAACTAAAATCCTTCCAAAGACAGGGGGATTCAACCTAACTAAGTTCGTATCTAACACTAATGTCGCAATCTACTCCATTGATTGAGGCAAAAATTCTACTAATGCTAGAATGCATCGGTTTCCGGGGGTCAAATGAGACACAACTGACGATACAATATTCGTACAACCAACAACCAAGGTAACTAATATTGCAACATCTAAACTCCGAACAGTCCTCTCTACAGTAGCAACGCCCCACTAGGTATCCTAGAGCCGTTTGTCACAAAACTGAATATTCTTCTGCAAAAACTGTGGAAGTCTGGTATCTCCTGAGACGAAAACGTGCGCAATGACTTTGTACCGATTATTGACAAACTGGTCGAAAATGAAAACAAGTCTCCCCTGAGAGGCTACCGAGCTTACTTGGACCACAGCTGTCACCTAAGGATATACATCTTCATGTTTTCTGCGACGAAAAACGCAATGGCTACGTGTATTTACTTCCGAACTGCATTTAGCTCTGCCATACACGCTACTTTTTTGATTGGTAGAACAAAGGTGTCACCGCTGAACCAAGAGAGCATTCCGAAACTGCTTATGGGCGCTCGGCTGTGCAAGTTCACCACTGATGAAATACGAATGAAGCCCCACTCCACTCACTTTTGGAAAAATAGCACCACTGTTTTGTCCTGGATTGCATCACCGTGTAAACTGAAAACAGCCGTAGGTGCTTTAACGAGACCAGCGAACTTG